GATGGGCTGAAACGTTGGGACGATTGTTGAGGATATTCTCGGACACCACCTGGCGGGCTCTTCATTGTCAAATGGAAGGATGCGGAATACGTGCGGCAGCTGGAGAACTGAAAAGCTTTGCAAATAATGCATTATCAATGTGAGAGCGCTCGTAACGAAACCGACAGCTCAAGGCAAGACCTACCCTAGGTAGGGTAAGGCACATACGGGGTCAGTCCCGGCCACAAAGACCCAGCCAAGAAGTTATACAACAGAGACGCAAGGGACAAAAAGAATGCGAAAGTACACGACGGGCGATGCGTAACAGCCATGGAGCAGTGAGAACTGACAAGGCAGACAATTTGAACTTTCAGGTTCGAGAACGCATGCTGTGCATGGCGAGCCCGTACTCCGTGCCCACAAAGCTTCATAAAAACATCGTGAAACTTGCTGCCGTCTTTCATGGCCCCTCCCCTATGTTTCTATTTTAGGTGTGCTGATGCTGGCTGTCTGAGTGCGGGGGACAGAATTCAGCTTCTGGCACTGCACACAATATTTGCGATGAAAAGGTACAACTAGGTAATCAATGAGGGATGCCGTACTGAAGTCAACGGAGCACATAGTCTGGTCAACTCGTCCATTACCACAGCAGCTGTCTAAAATACGACGACGGCCGATTGTATACTTGTACGATTTCTGCAACAAAACCACTTACGTGGCGAAGACATTCTTGTTCGAACAATCAATGCTCAGTCAGAGTCCACCTCTGTCACACGGTTCTCGTCCATCTCCTGGAACCGACCAGATCGTATCGCCTCTTCAACGGGGTTCTGGACATCAATAATTCCGGTACGCTTAAGCCTGTACCAGAGAATTAGCGCGTGACACTTCACTGGCATGTTTACAAACCTACCGTTCAAAAAGATCATAAAGCCTCTCTGCCTCTCTGAGCTTCTCGTCCTCTGTCATCTCGGGTAGTTCCACAACTCTCTCCGAGTCAAGGAATTGGCCTGTCACCGGATTGAACGGCCTGGCAGCTAGCTCGTCAGAGGTCTCGGCCATGTTCCCAGGCGTAGGGATGTTATTCTTGGCCAGGAAGCCCGAGGCGTAGCCAAAGCCCACGTTCGCCACGAACTTGGACGCATCCTTATCAGACAAACTATACAAGAGATGCGAGGCAACATCTCCGAGCTTTGGTGTCATGGGATTGTTGGACAATTTCAGAACCCTAGAACCCAGCGACGTGCCTTTGCCCAGAACTTCTTCACGATCTTTTTCTGTTGGCAGCAGGGTGGCACGGAGATATTGCTTGACCTCCTCAGTGGCGGCAGCTTCGACATAGGCCAGAACACCGACCAGAGGCGACAGAAGCTGGTCGAGCTCTCCTTCGGCGTAGATGCCTGGCTTCAGAGAAAGGTCGAGCAGGGTGACCAATCTGGCAGCGACGCGGCTCGGCTGATCCGAGGCCTCGGGCGACTGGGGGCATAATGATGACTGCACCTCTGGGTCTTCAAAATCCAGATTGAGCAGTGCGTTGATGAGGGAGCTGAAAGGCGGGTCGAGCGGCCTACTGGGGTTAATGTCCTGCTTCCAGAGCAGCGCAACGATCAGTGGGATAGCAGGCGTGAAAAGAGGCTTCCGCAAAGGGGCGAAGTGAGTGACATTGAAGAGCAGGCGAAGAGTTTCGTTGACAGCCATGTCCTCCATTGGATTGACGGGGCCGCTAGGGTTCTCCCGCATATGCTCCGCATGACGGGCGAGGTTGGAGATGACGGCACCTGCAAGGTCATGATCGTTGATCAAAGTAGGTAGATCAATGTTTGGCGCGTAGGTCGACAGGAGCAGGACCCTTGACAGCAGGAAAGCGTCTTCCCAGCTCTTTGGCCCCTCTTCCTTGAGCTGCTTACAAGCCGTACCTTCGTGGCCAAGGGTCAGAAACTCGCGCCTGGTGTTGGGCACGAGCAGCATCGAATTGGCCAGTACTTTCAGCGCACCGCGAGCAGTCGCTCTCTGCGGGCTCTCAAAGGCATATCTGGCCAAGATTTTGATGCCCTGCGTTCTCACGAGTCAGCTCGACACTCAAATACAGCGATACTGGAGTATTCTGCCCACATTCGGCGCAAAGATGGGGTCAGCACTCCTCGGATCTCGGCCAAGCAGCTTGAGTTGTTCTAGGTAAGCCACGAGCTCTACCGTCGTCAGGGATAGCTCTCAGAGTCTCAGAAGCTGAAATTTTCACTGACCATTGACTACCAGGGTTTGTGTTTCGAGGTTCGCATCAAGTTTGCTCATGAGCTTCTTGACGGCTTCAAGCTTGGCTGACGAATCCCAGTCAGTCATTGTCAAGGCGGACTGCGCCCAGGTGAGCGTCGGCACAGGACAAGGACGTACCTGGGCCAGGCACTGCTAGTTGAGAGGCCATCTCGTCCGTGAGCTTCTGGTATTTGGATGAGCTTGGCCACCCCATAGCAAGGCACCTTTTGTGTAGGGTGATGGACTTCTCCAATAAGGACGTCTCGGCAGCCGATGGAAGGAGATGCGTGGCTTGTGAATGACTGGGCGGCGGGGGGAGATCGTGGCACAGCACCCCGCAGCACTCGCCACGGGTCGGCCAAGACAGAAGCAGACAGGGATTCATGAGGCACATGGAGCATGACAGTAGCTTGAGTAGGTACCTAGGGAGACATGGACCCCACAATTCGTTAAAGTGCTTCTCAGTTTCGCGCGACCCTCGCGCGCGTCGTGAACGTGAGCGCGCCCGTGTCTTAATGCACCCTTGCCAAATTGCCCATGCCCCATCCAGCTTTCCCGTTACCCAGGCACCCAGGTTTTCCATCCTGAGTCGACCTCCGCACCTCCAAGCATCGTCACATTCGGTTGGACCTCGAAACCTCCCTACATTGGTCCTCTGAGGTTCCCTTTGATTTTCGAACAGCATACTTGAATTTCTCGGATCCTCTCTGCTGGCGGAGTCTCTCCTCCACACCCTCCCTTCGACACACATGCTCCTGACGGCATCCTCACCACACTCTCTAGCCTGCTAGACAGATTGACAGCCCGCCCCCCCCCCTCTTCCCGCATTCTTTCGCAACCATGGGGTCTGTCGAAGCTTCTACCAGGCTGCTGCAGTTAGACGAGCCTCGTCCACCAACACCACCGCGAGAAGCACGCCTCGGTGCTGACACGAACGCCGCCAGCCGCTCTCCGTGCGTGCGGCGTCTGCAGACTCTAGGTCGAAGCTCAACACGCCGCCAGGCCTCAGCACACCC